GATCACCCCTACCATTCCTTTTCTACATAAGCACTGGCTCCCAGGAATGGGATCTGGGAAAACTTGCACCGAAATTGCCCCAACCACCATGCCTTGCCCCATATAGTCCTCCTGAGCTTTGTGGGTGTATCCATACTTCAACTTACCTGTCTGCTTGATCCCCCAAGGAGCCAATGAATATGGCAAAAGCATTCACTTTGGGATTGATAGTCAAGGCTTGTGCAAATCTTGCGGGAGGAATGCCGTACCGCTCCAGGTTGGCATCACTTAAGACTATGACAAAATATTCATCTGCATCGTCTTTTGCGATCTCTTGGATGGCATGCTCTGTGCCTTCCAGAGTATGATCTCCACTCATACAGAACTGAGAGTGAGCATGCATAATCTGGGGAGACAAAAAGTAGAATCCCTTAAGTGACATGCCCAAGGAAGGAAATAATACCCAATGTGATCTGACCTTCAAAACTAAGCTCATGAATCTATGTTCAAACAAACAGAGAAAGTAAGCGTAATCATATTATTAACGTTTAGCATATTCAGGAGACAATACCCAATGTGATCTGACCCCCTTCACATAGAGAAATCAAGCGTAATCGTATTATTAACGTTTAACATGTTCAGCAGACAGTTCTGAGAATGGAAACCACTGATCCTATCTAGTCAGTTAACATAAAAGTTCTCCCCTCTTTAGAGATCTCCCATTTTTTACTACCTGCATTTGGTGACTACCTGGATTTGGTCACTGTGAACCATTTTTGATCAGGGAAGTTGGTCAGCTACCAAGACCACTCCTCATTCTCTCTTTCTTAATCCACTTATATCTATTTATGCCTAGTTAGGAAGCCCAATCCAAGTATTAAGATGAAGTTATCTTCTGCTTATGTTCAAGGTTGCTATACAGGAATTAGGTCAATGAATGCATGAGTGCATTGTATGGAGCTGAGAACCACGGCAAGATCTTCTCTTAAGGAGTGCAGGGATCAAGTGTAAGGATCAACGGCCTGATGAGGGGAGCACTATTTTTGCCTGCATGGCAGAGAGAAGCCAGTCAATTAATCACACTAAAGGATACGAACAAGGCAGCCTTCATTTACTGGGGACAAGCTGCACAGAATAAGTTTGTAAGAGGTCCACTAGGTCTCTGTGACATGCTGGGAGGCAAAGCTCAGATATATACTAGGAAATGAATCTGACAAAATAGGGACCACTGATGCCTCACTAGCGCTCCCTACTAGAAACATCTATTTTTTAAGTGCACATTTGGGGGAGGTCTCCTGTCTTGTGCAATTTGGAGATTTTGTCCATTTACTTTTTTGTAAAAAAAAAAATGGTTACTCAACTTTCAGGTCCCCTGTAAACACCACGTTTGCCAAGGCATTACATAAATAAACCATGTGGCTGACCTCTGGCGTATAAAAGCTGTCAGTAACTGTGTAATGGTCCCCATTAGAGAAAGGCTGAGAATCACTGACCTAATGTAATAGTACATGCATTTGGGATAAGCGTGTATAACACCAATGCTTGATGAGAACAAAGTCGTTCTAGCTTTGTTTTGCTATGCTAAGAGGATCGTTACACAGAGAAGGAAATCCATACACTCCTGGAACTAATACTGTATAGGGAGATTTTCTATATGAACATAAATATTTTCCTCCAGATTCCAAAGCGCCAGAAGCATATCATTCTTCCACGTAGTTCTACTCCCTGTTTCTAGTTTGCTTTTCTCTCCTGGATAGAAACAATTACAAATCTGCCCAGCTAGACTTAAACACTTCATTAAAAAAGCATACCTTTAGAATCTCTAGTCTCTGTTTATTGTCCTTTGGAACTTTGTCATTGGGGACCAGGACAATGTTGAAACCATCTCCTGAGTGGCCAATGATATTGTACTGCATGGGAAAGATTTGAACAAAGAAATTGAAGCAGCATCTTCAAGCAAAGTGGTCCGTTGTCGTAATAAAAAGAGCCAAGGTTACAGCTTGGAGCATTGTTCCACTCTGCCCCACCCATTGATTCTTGTCGTGAAAACCTCTCTGCTAGTATGCCAAATTACATATGTGTTAGGCCTTCGGTCATGTGTTTAAAAGTTATAATTTAGTTTCCTGTTTTCAGTAAATGAGCAAATGTCACTGGCTGATTCCCAGCAGACCCAGCCTCAACTTCATCAAAACGGGAACTTTGTGACTTCACAAAAGCAGAAATAATTACATGTTTTCCCTTCTTAATTGTTGCAGCAATAATTTCTCCCTAGAAGAGCTAGGGTTCCAGCATGTGGAGTATTTAAAAATGATATGGCAATTCACTAACATTTGTAGCTGGTATGCTCACATTTATTTATTCCTTTCCATTCATGATAATTGAAAGGCAGGTTTTATCATTATATTATTATTTATATTATAGTACTATTAATTTGATTAATCAAATATATTATTATTAATAATTTAATAAATAAATGTTAGTTAATTAATTCTTAATTTATGTGCCAAGAAATCTATTAATTCTAGATTTCTTGGCACTGACTACAAGTATGAACACGTTTCTGGGGAGGGGAAATAAACTGAAATGAAACTCTTCCAGAAATGACAGAGTCCCACGGCCTCTTTAAGGCTCACCTATATTGGTTTAGTAGAGCATGCTTGCTAAAGGAATGGGTGAATTAGGGAGAAAACAGGGTTCTGCATAGATTAGCAATGGTATCAGACCAGGATGGGAAAACTACTGAGTATGAAAAAGCATCCAAAATGGGCCTGTGGCATTATCAGGTACATTATGTTTATTAAAAATTTAACATAATTTAACATTTAGACACTAATGTGCTTGTCAAATATCCAGTCAAAGTCCAGACTTTGTGAGATTCTGTGATGTTTCAGGGAAAAGAAGGCCAAGTCTTTGATACTTCCTCCTAGCCCACCCACACATGCACCTCTAACTATTCAAATCTGGTTCCATCTGAGACTCACCTTAAATTTCTGCTCATAATTCTCAAACGCTTCCATAACCATGCAAACAGCTTCCATGGATCGCTCGAGTCGTCTGTCGACTCCATTGAAACGGTACATGCTGCCAGAGACGTCCACCACCAGGCAGAGGCGCTTGCATTTCTGCTGAGGACTTCCAAGCTTAAAGAAGCAGATGACAAATTATAAAATTACATGTCAACTAGTGCCGAAACACGCACACCCAGAACCAGCATCTATGGGCCCATCTGATTAGAGACCCACAGCCGGGTAACACATATCACCAACTCTGATTAGACCACCACCAATCCTCAGACACACACATCCAGGCAACTAGAGACCCAGACGCAACACATTTTGTGTTACCCAAAAGAAAGTATAAATGCCTTCTATGCCCACTGCTGAGAAAGGACGGGAAAAGAATTCTGAAAGCCTGTTCTTGCCCTGCCTTTGCTTAAACTGCACTCATAAATGAAAAAATGGAATTAAGAGGACACGCTAGGTTAGAAGGCAGGTTTCGTAAAAAGACATGTAAGTACAAAATCAATAAATATTGATTAGACTGGGAAGAAAGGAACTTAATTAGTTTTCAAAGAGCACTCTTGCACCTTTGGATTCAGAAGTATTCTTTGTGTACCTGTGAGTTTAATGGTGTACCAAGCAATAAATCTTGTGGAAACCCAATGCTAGCTCACTCACTGAATTGTACTACAGGTACTCTGATTGTCTCGGGAATAGCACTAGCAGTGGGTTTTTCAGAATATTTCAAAAGTGAGCCACTGTAATATAGTGATTCAGGTGTTGGGCCAGATGCGGGGAGATCCAGGTTTAAATCTACCCTCAGCCATGGAAATGGAAGCCATGTATTTGCCCCACTAGGTAGGCCAGACCAGGAAATCAACTCCACAGGAAGGCTAAAACTACTTTTATTGAGATTGGCTAGAATAACAGAATCTTGCAAGCCTGATTGTGCTGGACCCTGTCTTTCTTATAATGCAGTGAATTAGTGAGATGTTTGTCTGAGTTGCTTCTGAATATTGTTCTCTGAATCACTATTTGAGTATTCTGTTTTGAATTCTTCTTTCCTCAGTGCAACAAACCTTTCACAGTTCAGTTCTTTTCTCTGATTATTTATGCTTTATGTCAATTCAGAGGGTTCTGATCAAATATAACAAATGGCTGGAATTTCTTTAATCAGGAGTTCTGGAATTAAACAGGATGGGCATATGACCACTGACTCTAATCTAACTCTGCACTTGAAAATTAAGCATGTTGGTGTAAAACTCTTTTTAAGGTACACAGCTAACACTAAACCACTTTGCCACTGAATACCATAACCCTGCAAACATCAAAACTTTTTTTTTTTTAAATTGAGTCCTTATTGCAAGTCTTCTGCTGCTCTCATATCTGGTTTCATTCTTAGCCAAAGAGAAGATAAAACCAGCTCGCCCATTATCTAAAATACTGAGAAAATTTGTCTTTCAGTCCACCATGTCCCGAGTTGCTACTGTTTAATTTAGAACTACTACACCAGTGTTTTTCAACTCCCAGAATTCCCTAGCCAGCATGTTGAAGTCCATGCATCTTAAAGTTGCCAAGGTTGAGAAACACTGTACTATACGCTTTACAACAGTCACTCAGAAACCATGGAAAGAAACTCATTATAGCCACTGTGATTCACACTATAATATACGTCAATCATCATGTCAGCGTACTGGAGCTTAGCTTGGGAAATCTCCAGAAACTATTCCATGATGATGCTGGAGAGAGCATCAGCTGTGACTTTGCAATATAAGCACTGTGCACTGGTTATGGATGAACACATGCAGTTGGAGAGTCTTAAGAAGAAGTTAATTTTTCTTATGGTCTCATGTTCTTCAGTAAAATTGCACACACAGACTAGAAAAATAACTAGTGGACAAGCTGGTTTATAACTTTTAACTTACTTGTGGGTCAAGTTCTCCACGTCGCTTATAGATGGTTTTTTCCCCAGTCAGACTATCAATTATCTTGGCATCGTCCAGTTCTCCAACTGCCTGATGTTTTAGCCACTGTCTTTCCTTCCCTTTGGCCTATGGAGGAATAAAATATCATAATCACCCTTAAGGCTACTTCCATTTTTGATGACATATTTTCACTGAATGGCCTACTGGGACTTGTGTTCCAAATTCTACAGTCAGCTTTGGCACAAGTATTTGAAACTAAAGCATGACTAGACAGGTCTTTCTATCAGAGGAATAGCAACATTCATCAATGTTGATGAAATACATTCTTTTTCAGTCTCCAGATCTTGCATGTGATGTGAACCATGAAATGCTAGAATTTAATCAAAGAATTTAATCAAAGACCTATGTCCTATTTGACAACCCATGTAATTCCAGCACTCTGACAAAGAGGGTTACCAAATCAGTTAATCCTCTTTTAGCAAACAAAACCTAAGCAAAGCAAAGTCACAAAAGTGACATACAGAGAACAGGAGCATGACCAACTGATGTAAAATGCACATGTTCTTGGTTTTCAAAACCAAAAAGAACCAAAAAGAAAATAATAGAAGGCAAATAAATTTCAGGTTCGTGGAAAGTACATTTAATTGCCCTCAATAATGTTTGCACCAAGCATTGGCATTGTTAAAAACCGAAACAAAAGGAATACCCCATGGGAAGCCTGCTTCTTTCAATGTTTTACTAGGATGATGGATGGAGTGCTGTTAACAAGGAACTCAAGATCCAGTAAGCTTCTTCTTCAGGGGTGTCTGCAGAGGGCTTTGACTGCATGTGAAAAAGGATGTGGACCCCATCTTGAGTTTTTTAACCCTCTGTGGACCCCCCTTTCTATCTATTTGTGGGAGTATAATGCCCAGTAATTCATACCAAGCAGAGGAAGTCTTAAATGAAATCTTGTACTGTTCCTACAGTTTCGCAGCTAACACAATTCTGTCTTTATTGTCCTTCTTGCATCAGAATGAGAAGTCTCACTGAAAATGTTTGATTAACTTGCTATCTTTACCTGGCTGGCCATGCATATCAAGATACCCTAAAAGTGGCCAAAACTGAAGAGTGTTCTTTGCCATCCATTGGTGAGCTTTCAGTGAAGGCCAAAGTACAGTAAATCCTAACAAGACACTGTTGACTTTGGCCCTGGACTCTGGCTGAGGTTGAGACTCTGGTTTGTGTATGTAGTTGGTTGTGATTTGTCCCTAGCTACGAACTCTGTAAAGAACTTGCATCCTCCTGCTAGCTTCATTAAGAAAAAAAGAGTTCCTATTGGACTATTTTCTTACCCTGAAACCTTTCCTGGGAAATATTAAATCCTGGGAATAAAATTCAAATTATTTAAAGAGAGAAATTCTTCTAGTGTATAACCAAAGGCCCACAAAATTATTTGTCCAAAAACAATGAAACTCTATTTGAATGTATCAATGAACTCCAGTTACTTGCTTATGATAATGAAAACAAACAAATGATATTTGTAGAGCATTTTCAGATGTTTTATGTTAACTCTAAAGTAGATTATCTTCCAAACTCCAGAGGACAGCAGCAGAACTGGCTTACTAAAGTAATCCAGAGTTCATTGCAGAACTGATCCAAATGGGGAACAGGTCCTCATTTGAAACTTCACCACTTTGTCTCACCACTGAACAGCTTGACAACACTTCCAGGTGTGCAAGTAGCCCTCCTTCAGTACAATATGCCAAGGAAGTGTTGAAGTCCAAAGTATATGAGTTACCAGCCCTTTTTTCTCTTTTTCTTGCTGAAAAGCATGAAAAAACATATCCCTGAAAATTGGAGATTTGACCACTGAAGTTCAGTAGCACCAGCTGGAGACGTTCTAGGAGATATGTGTGTCTTCGAGAGATAGTGTGTAGTCATGACTTACCCATCCTTACCCCACTTCTCCTTTTCCTATGGGAGTGCCAAAAGTTTTGTTGTTGTTGTTCAGTTGTTAAGTTGTGTCCGACTCTTCGTGACCCCATGAACCATATC